TAGACACCCTGACTTTTCTTTAGATAGTATTCCTCTACCCCTAACGATACATAGAGCATACCTATATCGATGGCCAAAAAGCGAAACCTTGTATCTCCGTTGCGGTGTTTTAAAATTTCGGATCTCCCTTTTATCTTTCGAAGAAAAACAAGCCGAATTTATACCTTGAAACCAACACAGAGTATTCTGCTAATAGAGAGGAAAAATCGAGGCAGTTTTTAACAAATTACGTTACCTTCTACTTCTCCGGAGAAGAAATAAAGTCTAACAAGAGGTTTGCAACATCACAAACGGAGATACGTTGTTTCTCACTTTGATCATCAATATAGAGAGAGTATGGAGTTCCGGAAGCCCCAGAGGGCGGAAAAGGTCTCTACAGAAAAATTTTAGGTACAATTGAGGCATCAAAAGATCAATTTTGAGCTGTTTTAACGAAAAATTGACTGAAATACAGTATTAAAATGACAAAAATATCACTCATTTATTTCGCAAAATCCTTTATGTTTCCTGGAGGGGGCAGATTATTTTTCTTGAAGGAAGCTTACTCAATACCCCTGATTCTTTCCATGAATGCGGCTATTTCCTGAATTTCAATTTTTTTTAGGTGACCTTCTTTCTTGAAGCTGATTCCACGGAGCAATGTTTTCCTCACTTGCCCCATGATGAAACCATGTTGATATCATGTTGACGTCAACATGGTATTATATTTCACTCAACAACACGATCGTTTTTAGTGGAGGCTTGGAGGACGAGACGCATAAGTTCAGTTTTTGCTATTTTGAGAAATGCGTGTCGGAAGTTTCGAAATTACATGCACGGATCCTTATTGCGGGAAGGAAGTTCCAACTGCCCTGGTAAAAATTGGCGATAGGGGCTGCGTTTCAAAATACCATAGGAGTTCTTATAGCCGACTAAAAAAGGCTATTGAAAATCATATAGCTGGCTATAGAAAGCGGAGCAAATCATATAGTCGGGCTATAGTTCCTATCGCCGAGTTTTACACTTTATCGCCATTGGCTATAAAAGGCTATAAAATTGTGTAGAAATTCGTGTGCTTTGGAAATCATTAAGTTTGATACGGAACTACCTTAATATTTATAAAACACACATTATATTTTCCTTTAGAACATTTTTTTTTTCATCAATTAAAATGAGAATTGTCCATACAGAGTGTGCAAACATTTCAAAATCATGAGTTGATAAACGTTGACTCCGCGAGATTAAATTTTAAAGCCCAACTCAAAGCGGAGCGGCGACGCACTGGCGCCTACAAACCTAACAAGGATACTTCACGCATTGCGCAATGCGTGAAGTATCCCTGTTAGGTTTGTAGGCGCCAATGCGCGTCTCGCACTCTCCGCCCGCCCGCCGCGCGCCGCAGCGTGCCACGGCGTCTGAAGCAACTATTTCACACCAGAGGTATTGCACAGTATCATAAGAAATTGGAGGCGCTCCAACATATTAAGAATGACAGGCATCCTTCAAAAGTACGGAGCTTTCCTCACAAAATAAATCAAGATACTACGGCACAAAAAAAGAGCGGTAGTCCAAAAACTAACTAAGTCCTGGTATCCGTACTTAGTAACGTTTAGTATAAACTTTATCGTCTGGCTGTTGCTTAATCGCCATCGGCAATAAAAGGCTAAAAGAAATTGTACAGCCGGCTACAGAAGCTATTGGAAATCTTACAGCCGGCTTTAGGTCTATGGTATTTTGGAACACAGATTCTACTGCCAATTTTTACCAGGGTGACTTTTGGATGCTTAAAAGTTGGAATTTTGGAGCAAATTTTTCACAGACACTGCATCAAGACTTGTTTTACTTGAAATCATCATTATCTCAATTTTTTCAAAACTTACACTTATGCGCCTTGTCCTCCGAGCCCCTTCATTTTATGAACGGCTCTTCAGAAGACGAATAGATCCTACGAATAAGACGTGATTCCTGTTCCTGCGTACGGAAACCAGCCTCTCTACGTCCAAAACCTCTCTTCACAGTTGGATTACAATTTGCAATAAGGAACCACTATTTCTGGCCCATTTTAAAAACAACATACATACCATTGGTTTCCCTAAGCAGATATGTTCTGTTATGGGAGAGCCAGAGACAGTGGTTCCTTATTGCAAAATGTAGTCCAGTTCACAACCTTCCTATATTAGCGCCGAGTCGAGAAGTCTCTTCACCCTTGAAGAGGCGAATTACAAATGAACGTATTTCTGTCAAACGGAGCCGAGTGCATTACGACGTGAGCCCTGTTATGCATACATTACTATGGGTCTCAGGGCTCATGCCTCAATGCACATAGTTCCGTTTGACCGAGATACGTCCAAATAATTTAGAGGTCTCTGCTCGTGTCCGAGCCGAGCTTTGCATATGGGAACCTCACCGACCCGGAAAAGTAAATGCTTGAGTAGGTATCGGCGATGTAGCCAGGATGGCGTCATGCTCCGACTCTCGGTCTAAAGACCCGTCGCTGATTCTCGCTAATTGGCGATCACCGATTCGCGATCGGCGCTCCTCGTCATATCCCATCGGTTTCCATCGCGGTGATCAGTCGGCCGAACAGGATTTGTTTAAACTGTTTCACTTCCGAGTCGTCTTCTTCCTCCCGTAAGAGTTTCCGTAAACCCCCTCCCCCGGCTTTTGAGGATTCCACCGAGGAGCCCTTCAAGGATTCGACTCAGGAGCAATCGAGCGAGGTTTATTGTGTAATTCCCGCGGGAATCACGTCAATGACCAATGACTGTTCGGCTCGAGTAACTTCGTTGTAAATTGCGGTTTTATTGAGATGTATAGACGCGTTGGTCTCCCAGAAAGCAAGTTACCGCAGGGTGTAGAGTCTACCCCAGGGCCGGATTAAGGGGGTGGCCACATGGGCCGCGCCGCGGCCCATGGCGGCAAATTTTGAAATTTTTTTAAATGTAGGTAATAAAAAAAAATCGGATTTATAAAAAACAATTACAAACGAGGGAAGGCGACAAAATCTCTCATTTCCTGAGAGTAAAATAATTTCCAATTTTGTCGTCTTCCAGAGATACAAGAGACAGCACCTTTAATTACTCAAGTTAAGAGAGAAACCAAATAGTTAAAACACGCAATTTGGCCCAGAACGGCGCGACTTAGAGAGAAATGATAACGAGGACTTGAGATGAAAAGGAGAAGCCCTCGGCGCGGCGATCGGCATGTAACACATTAGCGCCTACAAGACTGCACGAATACTTCACGCATTGCATCAAACAGAGTGCGGTCAGCGTGAAACGCATAGCGCCTACAAGACAGCGTGAATACTTCACGCATTGCGTCAAACACGGTGCGGTCTGCGCGGCGCGGCGGCGGAAGTTAAAATCATTAATCCACATTTATGTTTGTTCTTTCATAATTTTTTCATTTCTTATGAATAGAAGGCCTCGTTCACACAGAGATAGGTTTACGAAACTTAACTTTCGCACAAAGTTCTGTGAACTTATGCTAGTAGTATTGACGGGGCTTTCGCAAAAAATGTGTTCAACGCCAGTAAACGCGTCTTGTGCACCCTTCCCCCGCTGGCTTGTTCATTTGATGGTTTTAATTGATGTTTCAAAACGAATGAGAAGGGGGCGGCAAAATACAGGCGGCCCATAGGCGGCAAGTAGGTAAATCCGGCTCTGGTGTAGATCAGCTTGGACTGTGTTCGAAACTCAGCTCTGAGTTTCAGGAGCCATGTGGCCCATAAAGCTCGATTTTTAGGGGCCAAATTGACTTTTTGCCAATATATCACAGCATTTAATGAAAAGTTAGAGTCCGGTGCCATGCATAGAAATTTCGAAAAATAACCAAACAGAAAAATTAGGATTTTTTTTGATAGGGGGTCGGCAATTTTTAGGGGCCACGTTGGCGCAGGGCCTTCATTTTTTAGGCGCCACGGCCGATTTCTTAGGCGCATTTGGCGCGTTGGCGCCTGTGAGTTTCGAACACTGAACTTGGATGAAAAAAATTCTCTAACTTTGGGAACGTTCATAATTGGACCGCGTTAATCAGAGAGGAAGCAACCCACATTAAGTCGAAACGGGGAAAAGGTTTGAAGTTTTATTCCTGCATAAGATTCCATGTAAAAAATAACCTTTAACCTCTATTTTCACAAACTGATTTCTTTTTTTTGACTTTCAGATTTTGGCAGAAGAAAATGGACGACTGGTGAAAGTCAAAAACATTCTTGACTCGAATTTTTCGAAAATGTGGGCTGGTTCCTTTCTGATAAACTTGATCCAATTTAAGTATGGCTCTACACAGGGCAGGGTATGTCCCTGCGGTACAAGCGGAGAGTGGGGGGTCTGTATCAGAATATTCTTCTGCAGGGAGAATCGAATAAGGGTTACTGGAAGTTTTGCTGAAAGGGTCATTAAAAGCCCAAGGATTGCGATTGCAGTCACTCGCCTTTTGAACACTCATTCTACTGTGTTAAGAAAAAACGCTAAGCTAACCTTCGAGAGTTGCCAAATTTCCTCCGATAAAATGTACATTCTTGAGGAGAGTCATGAATATTTTCTTTGGAAATTTTCAGATAATCTAGATCCAATTGCATATAAAAATTCTCTGAAAGTGTCAAAGAAAAATATTCACAGAGTTCCGAAGAAATACAAATTTTATCACAGGAAATTTGGCAATGTCGTTCTGCCTCCACAAGGCAGCATTGCAGATAGGACTCAGAATTTTTCTGTCAAGACATGACAGCAGCTTACCTACTTATATTGTTTTTTTTTTTTTTTTGTACTCTACAAAGAAAGGCAAGGCAATTGAGGAACTAATAAAAGCCTCCAGAATGAATCAGAGACCTAGCTAAATCAAAATGAGATCAAAAGGAACATGAATTGCACCGCAACCTACAGTTAATGTGGCAAAATGGATTCATGAACTATTTTTCAAATCAACAGTTTTGGCAGATCTGTGGATGCCCCATTTCCTGGAAAATTTCATGCAATTACAGTTCAAAAACTAATAGTAGAATCTAAAAGCTCACTTACCAAAATGGAAATAGTACTGATTAATTCTCAGAAAGGAAAAGTACTGTTGATTGCACATCGGAACTATTTACAGATGTGTACTGAGTCCCTGAAACAAAAACACACAGACACGATTATCTTGTGGCTACAGATAATTATATTAGAAATAGCATCAAAATCCTCAAGTGAGGCAAGGTAAACCTTCTTCATCAACTGAGAGGGATCTAAATTGGTTAAAAGGATTTTTGCCAAGGTTTACAAGTAGGTGTTACATTTCAATGGTGTAAGTTGGCAATCACATAACTTGTTTGCGGTGTCTGAAAATCTCCACCTCTATGTTAATTTTTTAAAAGAGAACAAATTGACATCACTCCTTGAAGTATCTGCAGTATTTTCTTTGCACAGAGAAGAAAAATCACGGCAATTTCAAAGAATCGCCTTTGAGTGGTTACGACAAGTACGACAGGAAGTCTGCGACGTCGCAAAGCGAGTTATGTGATTGCCGCCTTATACTATCGATTTATGTTATGTTTGCAGTAAACAAGCTTTCGAACACTAAAATTAGCCCATTTCCGCTGAGGCCCAATTCAAATGGTTCAACTCTTTGTCCAACAAAAGTGGACAAAAAGTTAAATGGAATGTTCACGCAAGGAAATTTGATTCAATCACCGTTGCCGTGTGATATCGTTGTAAGGCTATTCTTCGGCATTTGGGTATTTCTGCTGTTAGCTTACGGTTCACGGAGATACAGCTTCAGCTCAAGTCTGTCAGAAAATTTTGATCTAACTTTCAACTGTCCATATAATTGGCAAGTTGAGCAAAAAGTTGAAGGTGATGTCGGACTAAAGTTCCCATAAAACTTTTCATTTGATCTCTGTGTTCTTTTCTCAGTATCTTAAGATTGAACTTTTCATTTGACAACAGCAAAAGAATAATTAAACAAATAGAATGGCCATCTGAATTGGAATTAAAAGACACTTATGAGAAAGCCACTGCGCTTTAAGTCTGTAGAATGCCCAACTAATTTAGAATATTTCAAAATAGATACAACAACTTCAATGACGTTTCGCATGGTAATGTCGTTCTAGAAACACACATTGTAGGATCTCAGAGTCTCTTCTTGAACATCATAATTTATTGATAATGAGAGTGCCAGAATTTAATTTCAGGCGTAAGTTATTTCAGTGAAAGGAACAGAGGGTACTTCAGAAAATGTGCTGGTCAAATCCCTTCGGCGGACTCCAGCTGCAGCAAAATGTTGTGCGCAAGATGGGTTTGGGGGTTAATAAATTCACTGTTCGAGGGGCAGAATGAAGAGGGATCAATAAAAAACCTAACTTATGGCATTACAAGGGGATTCTTTGGATGATAACAGCTCATGAAGGGATGAAGTCTCTGCAAGAGGTCAGGGTGACTTATTGAAATCTAAACTTAGAGAGAGCTTGTGGTTAAATTTGGGCAAGGTGCATTGAAAAAAGGGTTACTGTCTGTAGAAGGCAGAGAAAAAATTTCAGTACCCTCCATGTGCTCTGATGATGACATACAATTTGTAGGACACACGTGGACTCAAAAAACGCAAAAAATCTTACCAGATCGCACATGACATCAGTATCAAGTGCGCCGTCGGAATTGCACAAATGTGACTAAGGATTCGATTTACAGCACACAGTTTAGAGGATTTCAGCTTTCCATGACGAAAATTATGCTAAGTTCGTCGTTTTCTAGAGGAAATGCCCTGAAAATCGACGAGAAAAGCCCTCACCTCGCGTCGCGAAAACGATCGAATGATAACACGAACACGATCACTGATAGCGAGACTCCAGTGTTCTTTATTTACTTTTTTGGCAACCATTTTTCTTTCATTCGGCATCGTTGCGCGCTTTTCGGCGCCAACTGTGTTTTGTTCAAATAAGGCGCGAATTTTTTGAAAGCCGTGGAGAGTGTGAGGACGAGAGGACCTCGCGGGGAGCAGGGAAAAAAATAATATACTTTTTCCTGAAAATTTATGATTCAAGCTTAATTTTTTTAAAATCCTCTTCAATATAACATAACCATTTGAATTTTAAAAAAGAGAGAAAAAAATGAGGAAAAGCAACTATTGCAGTGCAAAAAGCCTGGAATGTTGAATCGGACATTGGTGCATTTCCAGCGGTTTCCATAATATGTTATTATTACATCATGAAAAAAAGTTTTCATAATTTTGATGGTTTTCAAAAAAAAAACCCTTGATGTTTATTTATCATATGCGTGGTTTCCGAGATTTTCGCAGTCACGATAATAACTCGCGAGTGTTTATACGTATGGTCCAATTTGACATGATGGATTCCCACCCAACAGCACCATGGGCGGAAAAGGGGGGCTGAGGATTGCGAGTCTATAACCCCTTAAAAATCTACTGCCCCCATTCCCGAAAAAATGTGAAGAGTTTTTCGAAGCCAGTGATTGATATAACTTACAATTTTGAAATTATAATTCAATCAAGTTTTGGTAAAAACAGCTCAGAATTTCCCATAGGACGACTTGATTGTGCCAAAATTTTCTGA